TTGTAAAATTAATTTTAAATGTAGATAATATTTGTATATAGGTAGATAATGTTTGGTTGATTTAAGGGGAATAGCAATGAGAACTTTACAATCAGAAGGTCTTAGCTCACGAGCTAGGTCAACAGAACCTGATACACATGCAAGGAAACGGAATCAAAATCAGAAACTTCAGCTTAAGATTAGACCCAAATTTGTTTGCCCCAAAGTACACCTGGACTGATTCTTTGTTTTGTTTTGTTTTAAAGAGAAAAATAATTAAATAAAACGGCTAATTGAAATTATTGCACATGAGCAAAAGAAAAAAAAAGACAGTAATACTATTGGAGCTCCTCACAGAAAAACCTCCTGAAACGCGCTGAAACGTTCAAACTAGATGCAGGATGATGAGTTTTAAAAACTAAAACCAGTGGGTAAAAACCTTGATTTGGATGATAGACAGCTGGCAGGGGTGAACATTGTGCTGTAAACGTCCAGTAAAAGGCTGTCTAAGTGCTTCTTCTGTAAGCTTGAAGGAGGAAAAAAGGGGGGGTTTCAGAGACCAAGTATTTATTGTTGAGGCATTGTTAAACGTTAAGCCTGTGCTCTCCATCCAGGAGTCCTAATGTGAAATCCTAACAGCGTAGGACAAGATTAAAAAATAGAGAACATAGATGGTGTTACCCTCAGGTTCTGTCATGTCAAACATCGCTGCTACATTAAAACTGCACACGTTTCTGTGCAACATCTGGGGGGGGGAGGGGCTTTAAAGAYGATTTCTCTGAACGGTTTTGTTTGTTTGTTGACGTCGTTATTGGTGTTGACTGGCAGTGTCCGGGTCCAATAACACGGCAAGTTTCAGTTAAAACACTGGGGGTCCAGTRAGGGTGGTAGCAGGAGTCACTCTGGGAGCCTGTGGCGCCGTCACGTCGGGGTTTGTGTGTCCGCTCGGCTCACACCGGCCCGTTGACGGACACCTCCGGGGTCAGGGGGGCTTCCTCTCTGATGGGACAACAGAACAAAACAAGACTCGTTTCAGGCCTACTGTTCCTCAAATCAAGTCATCTGCTGTGTTCCTTGGTCTTCATGATGCRCTCCCATCACTAACGTTCTGGATTTAATATAGTAAATAGTTAAAAGCACCTTTCACACATTAAAACCACTGTTTCACTTTGAAAACAAAAAKATTTGCTCCTTGGTTARGTAGATGAGTTGGGAGCCGTGGACACTTACTTCTTCTCAGTCTGTGTGTTCACGGGTGAGTCCTCAGCTGCAGGAGGATCTGACAGAGACAGTTTCTCCAGAGGAACCGGACTCTCCTCACTGCGGGAAACAAGCAGCTGACCGTTAGGCTTTATTACACTGAGGGCAGGGACACAGGTAGACACACGTGTATTAGGATAGACACACAATTATCAGAACAAAACCTTTCAGATGCAGTTGAAGTTCAGACTCTCAGCTTTAATTCATTSGGTTGAACAAAATGATCGCATTATAAGAATGTGAGAAACTAATTTCAAGGGCTCAAAAGTAACTGAACAAATTAAATTAAATGTTCATTTCTAGTACTTGGTTGAAAAGYTTTTGTTGGCAATGACTGCCTGAAGTCTTGAACTCATGACATCATCAGACGCTCCTTTTCCTCCTTTTTAATGCTCTGCCAGGCCTTCACTGTGGTGGTTTTCAGTTGCTGTTTGTTTGTTTGTGGGCCTTTCTGTCTGAAGTTTAGTCTTTAACAAGTGAAATGCTCAGTTGGGTTGGGATCAGGTGACTGACTTGGCCATTCATAAATATTCCACTTTGCTTTATTAAACTCCTGGGTTGCTTCGGCTTTATGTTKTGGTTCATTGTCCATCTGTAGTWTGATTCTGGWAGAGGTTGATCTTGGTTTCATCTGTCCAAAGAATGCTCTTCTAGAACTGTGCTGGTTTTTTTTAGATGTTATTTTAGGAAAGTCCAGTCTAGCCTTTTTATTCTTGAGGCTTTTGAGTGTCTTGCAGTGAACTCTCAGTATTTACTCTCAGGCAGTCTTCTCTTTATGGTAGATKTGGATATTGATACTCCTGCCTCCTGGAGARTGTTGTTCACTTGGTTGGCTGTGAAGGAGTTTCTCYTCATCATGKAGATTATTCTRCRATCATTCACCACTGTTGTCTTCATGGGCATCCAGCTCTTTTTGCTTTGATTTGTATATTAATTAGGGCTGTGAAATTAATYGAGTTAACTCTGATTAATTTTAGGGCTGCATGGGCATAGATTTAACATTTTTATTCGCGATTAAAATTTACAATCACTTTACTATGRCTGAATATGTAGGTTTGTAAATTGCAATTAACTCAGTGCATGCCAGGTCATGTTTGTAAATGAGAAGTGGTTCTCGATAAATAAAGATTAAATAAATAATATAAAAAAATTCCATGTGTAACACATTATGCATGGATCCATCCTGCCTTGTATCAACGGTTCAGGCTGGTGGTGGTGGTGTCATGGTGTGGGGAATCTTTTCTTGGCACTCTTTGGGCCGTGACTTTACGGCAGCTGAACCTGTCCGTCTGCAGCGCAGCTCCAACCAGCCAGTTCATACATGTCAACCCCTTCAGACGTTTACA